AACTTTAAACATTTAATAAGGAGCAGTTTTATGAATTGCCTCTTTAGTAGCTCTTCCGTGAAGAGAAAAATCAAGCAAATTGTGCATGGTAGAGTTTCATGGCAAGGATCTAAATATACATGGTCTCATTTTTTGGCTGCTATTTTGTTCTCGGTGATCTGTGAACGTGCTTTGTCAGGATCTTTTGATCTGTGTGTGTGTGTTGCCTCTCTTTTCATGTTAATACCCTCATAAACCATAGCACCACCCAAAAATAATATGAAATTAATGTTTTGACATGGTGATGGTTAAATGGATTAAAAATGGGCGAAAATTAGGCTAATTACGTTAGGAATGATGCTACTTTGTTAATTAGTTACTTGAAACTTTCAAAAGGCTTGTCATGGTATCACCCAATGGGTTTCATAGTCCTGGCAGATAAAGTGACACTAAACTCCATTTTCACATGTAAAAAATCATGCAGAAAATTATCTTGTGATTTCTGAGAGTTTCCTTGCTGTTACTTGCAGAATGACTGTACATTGTTGCTGAACTGTGGTTGAACTATTCCAATCTGTTTGTATTTAATATTAAACAGACATAGGTTAAGCAGTCCTCTTGGTGCTGGTGTGGTCAGTGTAACCATTTGTTGCAATGTTCCTTTCCAGAGTAGATTGTCCTTTCTTTTTGGTGATAGTTTAATTTTTTTTTTAACTCTGCAGGAGTCCTCCTGAGATAATGTTGCCATCTGGGAAGGTGTGTTAGGTTTTGTTTTGAGGAGGCTTTCCATGTCATCCTGTCTTGTTCCATGTAAAGCATCTGAATTAAATAACAGTGACAGATTCTCGGTCCTTCCCTTCCAAGGCTGATGTGTATCTCTCTGTCCTGCTCAAAGGTGTGCACACACATATGTTTATCTCCTGGACCTTGAAAGAAAATGGTTTGCAACATTAATAAAATGTAAGTTTGAAGCATATCTCTCTTTCTGTATTATTTTCCAAGTTAAGTCACTGGGTTTGCTTTACAGAAAGAAAGAAATTATTTCACCAAGGTTTAGTAACAGAGATAACAAACGTGCTGCTGCTTTGCCCCTATTCCAAGTGATTTACCAGGGCTTTTCTGCCTCTCCACTTCCATAACAACCTTGCAATGAAAACCAGAGGAACTCAGAGAGCAGGTTATTATGAAACTTCTGCTTCATGTTTCCTGTCTTATTTTATTGCAACAGCAGCAGTGTGTGTAGCACGTGCAGCTGCTGGCGGAGCAGCAGCCGGGTGCCAGGGTCGGTGTGGGAGCTCCTGGTGCTCCCAACCAGGAGCTGTTCAAGATGTGCTGGGGAAGGAGGGTTTAAGGCACCATGCTGCAGCACCTGCCTTCACATCAACAGCAAAAGGGAAGTTGGGGCAAGTCAAGTGTGTGGGAAGTGTCTAGTCAGGTGTGACCCTGAATCATCCGTGTATGTGAAGGGAAGTATATATATATATATATAAACTTATATACACTTTATATATCTGTGTACTGGCAACTTCTATTTTTCAGCAGTAAATACTGCTTACAGTTGTGACATCTTAGACTGCAGAAGATTATTTAATGTGGGAAAGGAAAAATACTGGAAAAACTGATGCCAAGCTGCTGGAGGAATAGCTCATCACCTGGTCATCTTGTCATGTTACTTAAAGGAAGTAACAAACTAAGTTTAGAGACTGAATATTTTCATCATGCTGCAGAGGGGTTAATTTTAGTTTCTGTTACATTTGCAAGGTGCAGCAATGCCTTTGAAGGACTTGGTGTTGAAGCTTCCAGTTTGCTATACCAGCCTCCAGTGTCCCATAATTAAAGTTTCCAGTTTTGGTTCCAGACCTAAACTTTTTCCTTCAGCAGTAAAACTGGGTGTCCAGCTGCCTGTAGGAGCTCATGGTTACTTGACAGCAAACTGGCTTTTTACATGTAAATATAGTAGTTTACATTTCTGCAGTGTATAAGCAACTTTTTATGAGTAGGGATATGATACAGCTGTTTGGGTTTTGGTAGTGCTGGATACATGCTGGGTTTGTCTGCTTGTTGGAACAGTTCATGTTCTGGCCATGTTGGGGAAACTTGATTAATGTTGCAAAGTGACTTGTTTTGTAAGATGATCAGTTTTTTAACTGAGGTAAATTACTTTCTTTGTGACTAATAAATGAAATAAATCATGCCTTTTTCTGTGCAGTACAGTGGGGCTCATAAATACTCTGAGTAGTTGGTAGTTTCACTTGATTGCCTTTCCCATTTCTGTTTTTAATAATCCTTGTAAGAACAGGGAATTCAGTCACTTTTAATAATGTGACAAAACAATAACAATGGCAGGTACATTTCATGCTGCTGAGCTACACTCCTGTGGCCTTCCCAGCTCAGGGAGCAGCTGGAACAGACACCTGATGCAATCCAGGAATCCCTTTCCATGGGAATTATTTGGATTGATTCATTACCTGGGTGAAAATAATAGGGTGTTTTTGCTGTCAAATACTTTCTTTCCTCTTGGCTTTCACTGGCTCCCCTCTTTTTGCATCCTGCTCCTGTCCTTCCAGGGTGGAAGTTCCACCCATATGGCTGGTGCTTAACCAAATCTTTGATGTATTGTTAAAAAACTTAAAATTTCCTTTGCAATGGGAATAGTGCTTGTATTCAGTAACCTTAGGTTTGCCTTAAAAACCAAAATACCAAAAATACTTGAGGTTGCAAGAGGGATTTTGCTGCTGCCAGTGGTAGCTGCTGGAACAGGGTGCTGATGTGGCCTGCCCAGATGTGCAGTAAATCAGAGCAGCTCCCCAAGAACAAGGAGGCAGCAACAACCTTCAGGGAGGTGCCTGGTGCAGCCCATGGCTGGTTCTGGCTCTGAAAGATTTTTAGCAAGCAAGACAGCACAGGCTTTGCTGTAGTTGTATCTGAATTACATTTATAGTGACAATAATAGCTCCTGAATCTTGATTGTTATAGATCTTTAACATTGACAGTGGTCTGCAAAACATGGCTTTGGGGCACATTGCAATGGATAAGCCAAATACCTTTATAGGTGCAGATCCTGCCACTGAGAGGAGGAGGAGGAGGATTCTTGGCTCCCTTGGCTTCCTCAAGCCCTGATCCTCTGTGCTGCTCTGATCTCCAGCACACAGTGTAAACGCAGATGGTCTTGGCAGTGAAATGTCCCATTGGTCACAAAATTTGCATTCTTGAGGACATGTTGCAGAAACTCTGGAACAATTAATGAAGTAAATAAAGAAATATTCAGATACTCTTTCCAGGGACTGTACTTTCTGCACTGCTCAGAGGTTCTTTGACCTTCTAGTTTATTATAAGTCAGGAAAAGTCAATATATCTTCGCTTGCCAAGTTGGAGGAATCTTAATGAGTTATTGAGTCAAATAGTTAATCCTCCAATAACAGATTTTTTTTCTCCCTTTCAGATTTACAGTGATAAAAACAAAGGCTTAACAGGGACCGAACAAAATAAGGTTTTGTAGAAACTCTAGGTTCTCTTTGTGCATGCATGTTAACCCCTTGACCACCAGGAGTTGAAATGAAGCTTCAGTGCTAGGGCATTTCGTGCTGGCACAACATGCTGTGCAAGCAGGGGCTGTGCTGATGTTAGCAAGAAATTTAGGGTGATAAAAAGGGATTAATAGACTGGTGGAGCTAAGTGCTGATGCTCCTCATATCTCCATCAGGTGTGGTGGAAGGTCTTTGGATGAGGTCCAGTCTTCTCTCCTAGGATGAGTGTTCTGTTACTTGGAAAAACTTGGAAGGGCAGAGCCCTGGGTGCATGTTGGAGGCTGATGTGGTGCTACAGTTGATGCAGAGTTTGTCCCACTGGGTGCTGGGGCATATCTGGAGCAGTGCTTCCATTTGAGCTTCCCCTGAAAGCTGGTGCACACCAAAACCTTGCTGAGAACCAAACCTACATGGGGTAAACGTGGACAACTGTGATTTACTTCAGAACTGGTGGAGGACTGGGCACAGCTGGAGGCTGCTGCCCTTGGGAGGCTGCAGGAGGCTGGCAGTGGGCTCTGCACCAAGGCATGTTGATTCTTGATTTCATTGTGCCTTTTCTCAGCTTTTTGTACTCAGGTTAGCAGAGAATGATCCAATTGCCTGAAACTCTTTATTGAGTATATTGCTAATTGTTGCTCTGGGTGCTGCCCTGTTGGGAAGCACCTTGTCCTGTATAAATGATAACAAAGTTTTAAGCCTTTAAGTGGGGAAACTTCAGAAGCAGAGCATGTTAGAGCACAAGGGTGACTTACCTGGCCTTTTAATAGCATCAAACAGCAGAGAGTACAATAATGGTCAGACCATTATATCAAATTAAATCTTAAAAGTACTAGAAAGTGGTATTATGTGCCATTATTCGAAGTGTAGGGGTAGATATTGATGGTCACTTTTACATTCCTGTAATATTCCCTTGACTCCAGTGATGAGTCTTCCTTGGGGGTTAATGTTTCAAAAGCCCCCAGTGATGGTCTGTCTGAGATCTCATTGAAACCCGTGTGAGTTTAAGCCTTGGGGATGTTTTGCTTCTGGCTCAAAGGGTGGAATTAGACTCTGGATGAGGACATGGGTACAGAAGCTGGAGTGCCAGCAGTGAGGGGACTTTGCTGCCCAGAATGAAGCTTCTAATGGGTTTTGTGGCTGCAGGTGTAGGTTTTCAGAGTTGCTTTTTGCATGTAACTCATGGCCAACGTTTGGGCAGTGGAATCCTCTCACCAGGCCTAGTTTCACAAAATGCTACAAGAAGAAATGGCTCCATGTCCATCACTTCTCAGCAAAGCTCTTTCAGCACCCACTTCATGTCCTGCTGGCTGAGAGCAGGAGATCTGGGAGCCCAGATAGGAAGACTTTCTCCAAACTGCAGTCGTGCTGCTGTTCAAAGAGGGATGCTTTTCCTTAGGCAACCTTGTAGCTCCTGTAGTGGTTGTGCTGCTACATCACACGAGGATGTTCTATTCAGCAAATATTGCTCACATGGACTTTTTCTGCCCTCCCCAGTGCTCTATGGGCAGGATGGTCTGCATGCCTCGTGTGAGAAGAAGTACTGTGGCCGGGGGAGTAAGTGTGTGGTGAACAAGGACACCAACCAGCCCGAGTGCAGGTGTGTAGAAGACTGCAAGCCCAGCTACATGCCTGTGTGTGGATCTGATGGCAGATTTTATGAAAATCACTGTCAACTGCATCGAGCCTCTTGTCTGCAGAGGAAGAAAATCTACATTATCCACAGCAAGGACTGTTTCTTCAAAGGTAGGACTTAATTAAAAATAAATCCTTCTGTAGATCTTCAATCACTCATCTTACTGTAATCCTGATGAATGGCTAAATGGTGTTTTATTTCTAAGAGATAATTTTTTTTCCAGGGTGATTTGTTCTAGGGCTCTGTAGAACATCACACTATGTTTTATGCAACTGTTAAGCCCCTGAAGTGTTGTCACCACCCAAAATGTAATCAAACTGGGAACTGGTAAATAATTAACATGACTGTAAGCATTGTGTGCCCTGTAGCTGTGCTGCTCAGTACTTCCAGCTTCTGGTGTAATAACTTTTACAATTCCAATTCATTTGGTAAGGCTCTGGACAAGACAAAGACATTAAGGAAAAGCACGTGGTGCTATAAAAGGTTTGTTGCAAAAATGAGAAACTAGAAGCTACTTTGGCAAATGACACAGACAAAGGAAAGAAGCTGTTTAGATGAAATAAGGGGAGGGGGAAGTTTATCACCAGAAGAGAGCTTTAAATAATTTTAGAGTTCTGGTTACCAGTAGGGTACATACATCTTCAGCTGTTTTACTGGTTCTGTAGTAAATTTCTTTATATCATTGCACCAAATCACCAAAGGGATGGAGTCCTGTGTCGTTTCCATTAATATTTTGCATGCTATGTACCATCCTGTCACAAATCAAGTGAGGCTGCAGTAGCAAGAGCATGTGATAAAATGTCAGGGAGTGGGAGAAGTTGTGAATTATCTTGTTTCTAATGAGAGGTCTTATAGAGGCCTCACTAGAGTAGATCAGTGGAACTCATTGTCAAATATGACTCCATGTATCTACAGAAAGATTTGAGCAGGTTGTTGCAAATATATGCAGTGACATTTATGTGATCAAATATGAAAATAATTCCTTTATCTTCAGCTCACTGGGCACCCGAGGCCCTGAGGAGCTTGGCTGCACACAGAGCCATCCATCACAGCTCTTGTTTACTAACACATGCCAGTACATGATGCTAGAAGAGCCTGTTTAAGAAACAGGTCCCATTCAAAGAGTTTCATTAATATAGCCTTATGATACCCTTCAGAGAAAGAAAAACCTGACTATTCTTGTGCCTCAGAGGAGGCACAGACACAGAGACCAGTGTTTCCTGAGCTACCTCAGCTGAGCCTGGGATGGTTTGTCATAGGCAAGCTCTGAATTGACCAAAGTAGGTAACTAGGTCTGGGATCAGTAGACCTTGCGTGAAGCTGATCATGGAAAAGGGGTCACCTAAAGGCATATTTGCATGGACAGGACATCAGCAGATCAAGGTGAAGAGGGATTTTTACTTGTCTCTTTGAAAAGGAGCATCTGAGAAGGATACTTGAACCTTGCTCCTAGTGCTACTGTTTCTGCCTCAGGGTGTTGAGTCAGATGAGGACACGGATCTGGCTGGAAACTGCCTCCATCCCTGATGGGACTGCAGCATGAGAAACATCCCAGAGAGAGGGGGGACACAAGTCTTCATTTCAGAGGTGCTCAGTAGCCCCTTGCCCCCTACTGATGCAGGGAGTTTTCTTTCCCTGGCTCCCCAAAGGTGTCTCCAGGCAGGTTTTTCATCCTTGTACTCAGCCTACCTTTACACAGCTGTGTTTCTGGCCTGGGCTTTTATTCATTCCTTATCACATGTTGTGTTAAAGAAAATGAGTTCTCATTGCAATAATCAGTGCCTCTGCAATGCCTGTATTACATCTAATGATACAATGTCATGCCTGAATGCTTTCCTGAACACACCATGAAATGATGTCAGAAAGTAGTTTTGTGTCCCAGTTTAAAGTCACCCTTAAACTCTTGGCACAGAGCACTGTTGAAATCTGCTTTTCAGCAGAATGGCAGCTTTATGGAAGGGAAGAAAGAAACAAATTCACTTCTCTTCCCACGTGAATAAATAAAGTAGTATTTCACACTGCTGTCTGCAGAGATAAAATGTAGGAAAAAAAGTTTACCTGAAGGAGGGAATAACCCGACTGAGTGGGACTTCATAGGAATATTTGGCCTTAGCCCTTGTTTCTGCCATGTAGTTCCTGAGTAAACTTCTGTGTATCCTTTAATTTGTTTGTCCTTTAGTCTCCTATTTTTAAATCAGGAGTGATAGTGTTTCCTTTTGAATGGAATTTTGTAGGAAGCAATTCAGCTGCAGGCTTATAAGCAACATTTTAAATGAAACAAAGGGTGAAATGATGACTGGAGAAAAATCTTAAAGGTGCAAAATGTCTTGTTCCAGCTGGGTATCAGGTGCATGCCTGTCAGCAGGCACGTGTCTTCTGTTTGGTTCTTGTCAAGTAGATGGTTTAATTATTTGAGTACAATTAGGCTGATGAGTGGGCAGCTTCATGGGTTTTTTGTCCCAGTTGATTTCTTCAATTAAGACCTAAGTCCCTGTGTAGGGCTGAGGGACAGCACAGCTGGCACCTGTGTGCTCTGCCAGTATCTCCAGTTATCCATGACAAACTGGCTGGCCTTGAGGTGTGACAGAGACCAAGTACTCCAGCTCCACGTTGGTGACTGAGCTGTGTCTGTCCACAGTGAACTGATAACACAGCAAACAACAAATATCTCCTTTGTGTATTTTGGGCAAGGATTTTTTTTTTTTTTTAGTTCTTTTAATATATTCATCAGGTGTGAAGTGCTTTGTAAATATTGGTGTGTAGCAACCACTGGTGTGTGGCTAGGAGCACTGCCTGGTCTGTGCTGTTTCATTCTGTATGAGCATTAGTGTTAGGAAAAGATAATTTAGGTCTGTGCAAGTTACTGGTTTCTGCTTTGCCCAGTCTGGAGTCAAATGGTTCCTGGGAACCCTTGGAGTTTAAGAAGCTAAAAAACACTTTTGTCTCTTCAGACATCCAGATTTCCCTGTGGCACCTTCTGAAATGAATGCATGTTTCTCTGAGAGAAATCACACAGACCTGCTGGGTGAGGGTGGGTCAGCACAGACATCAGCTCTCTGGTGTCTGTAAATGTGGGTAGGTTGCATCAACGTGGTGTTTGAGAGAGGTTTCACAGAGGATGTGTGTCCTGGACTTTGGGCTGAGCTGGTGAATGGACACAGTGTCCAGTGTGGTGACACATAGAAATGTGGGCAGAGCAATGAGAGGTCCCAGCAGGAGAGATCTCCCCAGGCTTCATCCTGTGCCTCTGATGCAGCTCAGACCCCCAGTGCTGCCACACACAGAAACCCAAATGTCCTCCCTTTCTTCTTGGTTGACAAAGCAAATGATAAATGGGTGAAAAACTTCACTTAGGAGTTTGGAGCCCAAAAGGAAATGCTGTAAGCAGAAGTCCAAAGCCAGATGTCTCCAGAGAAATGTCACTGCTACTCATAGCTGTTCAAAGTCTCCTTGATGCAATGATATTCCTTGGTATGAAACACAGTTTGGTTTTCCCTTAGAAAAATGTGCTGTTTAAGACTTCTCCCCTATGCAGTGGGGTTTTGGGGGTTTATATCTTCTATTTGTGAGTCTCTGTAGCCTTTTGGTGGGGGTGCTGGTGATTTTGACTGGGAAACAAATACATGAGAATCAAATGCTTTTGTTCACTGCCAAAGAGGAGAAGAAAGAAGTTTGTCTTCCCCAAAAGCACCCTCAATACCTCTGAAAACCAAGGAGGTATCTGTGCTCACAATGACCATTGTCCCTCAGATGACCAAAATGTCCTGGAAAGGTTCCTATTTGAAGAAATGTCCTGGATAAAGCAGCTGCACCATTCCAGCACAGGGATTTGGACAGTGCTTCACTTTTTCACAGCAGTAGTCTCCTTTTTCCCACTTCATTTTTCTTTCCTTTTGACCTTTTGCACCCACTTGATCACTTCACTCATTTTTCTCTCATTATTTTTGGCCAGCACGAGCTGCTCAAACACCACTAGATACAGTTTTTCTTCCCTTATCTCCTTCCTTTTCTTTCTTCTTTCCTTCCAGAGACATCAGATCAATGTCCTTCACTAGCAGTGTTTCTTACCTTAGAGGAATTCTCTCTGTGTAGAGCTATGCTTTTCCATTTTCAGGGTTTAGGAGTAACTTTGTTCCTTATTTTTTTCCCCTCCCCATTGTTCTCTGTGGCACCAACAATCCTGAAGCTCCCCTGCATCAGCCCAGCCCTGCCTAGAGGAAGGCAGCCACATCATTTGCCCAAGCTCATTCCTTATTTTCTCCTGTTCTGACACTCTCCCTTTATCCAGGTGTATTGGGATTTTTATAAAAATCTCAGCTTTTCTTGCTGAGCTGTGTAGTGGGTTTGTGCTGCAGCTGGTCAGATTTAGTTAGTGCTCTGGCATGAACTCAGTCTAACTTAGTTACTTAGTTGACCAAATGCTTGAACTTTCCATCATGTAAATGCACTGTACCTGGGCCTGTTACTTTATTCCTTTTTTTTATTCAGTCCAACTCTTCCTATGGCTCTGATTTTATGAGTTCTGACAGGGTTTTATGTGGAAAGATGGGGCACTATAAAAGCACTTTCATGTCTGGTATTCTAGCCCTGTTCTCTCTCTGCCTTCAGTCTCTCCTGAAATGTCAATAAGGATTTTTTCAATAATTTGGTTGCATTGCTTGAAATGTGTTTTCTTTTAAGCAAATACAGGACAGTGATTTTCCTCATCAAACAAGGTCAATTTTTGCCCTACAATAAATTGTACTTTTGTACAGAATTTGGAAAGAAAATCCTATGGAAAACAATCTGCCTTTCTCCTTTTTATTTCATACACAATCACACACTGCTGGCTTTGAGCATTTCACAGCATTTCATACTACAAATCCATATGCAGCCTTCAAAAATGCCTGTGTGCTGGGGTGTATGTGCATGTGCACATACATGTGTGTGCACATTGTAAGAGCAAAAACAACCTGCTATTTTTTATTCTGGCATCTTTCATCCTCAACTTCTCATCTTTCCTTCAGCTCAATTTTCTTTCTAATTATGGAAAATTATTATCTCTACATGTTGACAGAACATTTTCTGTGCTTGAATGTAAATAAAGTACAAAATGGGGGGGGGAAACCCC